GAAACGAATGTTTAATCCGCGGACTTTGACAAAGTGTTGGAGGTCCGTGAGCGTAGTTATGAATGTGCGAGAGTCGATGGGAGTGGAAGCTCGAAGAGGTGAATAATTTATTGTGAAGATCTTATTACGTTGGTGGAACCGGAGCGGAGTAAGCTAGCGTTTCCGCTAAGTGTAAAATTGCAATTTTTCATTAAAAAAATTGCTTTAAAGTGGAAAATTTGGCGAAAATTCGGAGGAAAATTATTCATGATGCAGCATTTGATGTCTTTATTACGACGTATGCAAACCAAGAAAACAACGTTAGATTTTTGATTTTGAGCTCGTGTGAAAATATTTAGAATTTCTAGAATTGAGGGTGGGGGGGGGGGGTAGAAGATGTAAGGACTCAAGGGTAAACACAAGGGCGGAAATGTGTCCGACTCTGAAATTTCCAATGGAACCAACAGAAACACGAGTTCGATTCAGAAATAACCCAGACAAACAAAAAGCGCTCCTGCTTCAAAATCTCATACAGTGTAAACAAACACGCTTTTCTTCTATGTAAGAGGCTAAAGCGGTTAAATTTTGCAGCTACGTAGCTACACAACAAACAACAAGTTTTGAACAGAGCATAGAATGAAGTGAGTCACTCGAGCTGCAAAACGCATTAGTGTTGGGAAGAGCAATGAATTTTTAACAAATAGAGGAGACAAGGCGCAATCGGCGAGAAATTTTGTCTTAGTGAGCGTGGCGGAAACGATAGACGGTGGGGGAGAGGGGGGGGGGAGTGGGGAGAGTGATTTAAAGTTATGTGAAAACATTACAAACAGATGAGTGAACAGCCGTTCACCTATCACACCCTGGCGATTGGTCGACCTTGTCCGTCGCACACGTTCATCACTACTATGACATGGGATTAGGAAGTGATGGGCGGAAGGGGAGGGTGTGTGGGGAGGGGGGGGGGGGGAGTGGTTGTAAAAATATAGCGCTACTCACATTTTTTGCTGCATTCAGTCGTTGTGCATATTTAGAACAATTGTTAGCCTATCAATCTTTTGATCAAATACTCATTTCACTCATATTGTTATATTGTTGATCTATTTATTCATTCATTTGTACTTTAGTTCATATCATGGCTTGTCTTTCTTTCATCCATTTCTCCTTCAATATTTCGTTTCATTTCTCATTTATGCGTTCATAGATTTCGTCATTCATTGATTGTTCCATTCAGTCATCAAATCGTTTATTTATTTATTTATCTATTTATTTGTCTATTTGATTAATTAGTTAATTAATTATTTACTTATTCATTTATTTATTCATTTTTTCGTTTATTTATTTATTAGGTTGGCTAGAAAGTTCTTGCGTAATTCAAACAAAATTCAATAACTTTTCAATGACTAAACCTAAATATACAATCTTGTTCTCTAAAAATATTAGAAGATCTGCGCTCCATGATGGATGTTTAAAGGCAGTGGACAGGCAAAATGGACCCCTGTCAGATTTTGGTAGTTTCGGGTAGTGGACCCCCCAAGTACACCGTAGCCCCAACCCCAACTTGCAATTGATGCGCTAAGTCCTGAAAAAAGCGCTTCAAACTTCCACCAATAACGCCCACTCAATGCAAGTGGGCGGGGCTGGTGGAGATTTGAAGCGCTTTTTTCAGGACTTAGCGCATGAATTGGAATGTGGGGTTGAGGATACGGTGTACTTGGGGGGTCCACTACCCGAAACTACCAAAATCTGACAGGGGTCCATTTTGTCTGTCCGCTGCCTTTAAGCGCAAGATTTCATGAGCTAACCCTCGAGAACGAAGCTCTCAAAAATGGGACTTCAAAATTTGCAATTTTGAGTTTGGTGCCAGAAAATCGCAGAGTGCCGCTAGCTAGCCGAAAAAAATCTGTAAGAATTACTTACACTGCAGAAGTCCATAAGTTACTTTGGAAGGCTTTGATCTTGCACGGTGAAGCAAAAACAAAAAATTCGTGAAATAGTCATTTTGCCGAAAAAATCCACTCATTACCGCAGTTTTTGCAAAAACAATTTTTTACACTCCAAAAAACGTCGCAAGGTCCTAAATAGCCAATATGTCTTATATCTGGTAGCAAACTGTGTTTTTGTGGAAAAATTACATCGATAAGGGGATTTATTCTGTAAAATGACAAATTCCACAAATTTTTTGTTTTCGCGTTTCCATGCGAGATTAAAGCCTGCTAAAATAACGTATGGACTTTTGCAGTGTAAGTAATTTGTACAGATTTTTTTCGGCTAGCTAGCGGCACTCTTCGATTTTGTGGCACCAAACTCAAAATTGCAAATTTTGAAGTCTCATTTTTGAGAGCTTCGTTCTCGGGGACTAGCTCATGAAATCTTGCGCTTAAACATCCGTCACAGAGCGCATGCCTTCTAATATTTTTAGAGAACAAGATTGTATATTTAGGTTTAGTCATTGAAAAGTTATTGAATTTTGTTTGAATTACGCAAGAACTTTCTGGCCAACCTAATATTTATTTACCTAATTATTTATTTATTTATTTATTTATTTATTTATATATTCATTCATTCATTCTATAATTCATTCATTCATTCATTCGTTCATCCATTCATTCATTTCTTCATTTATTTATTTGTGCATTCAACTATTGATACAATCATTCACTAGCTCATTTTTCTCCCATTCACCTTCATTCGTCGTCCTCATCCTCTTCCCATGTTTCCCAACAGAAGAATCAATTTCGCCATTTTAGTTTTCACTTTTCAAACTTCTCTTCCATCCTAAGTCCATTCAAAAAACTGATTTTGCTTTTATTCATCCACTTGTATACAAAGTTAATATGTGCCATATCTTTGAAAAATTTTTCCATGGGCTATTCCGACCAAATCTCCGCCTCCCCCCCCCCCCCTCCCTCCCCGCGCCTTCCACGTCACTACAACATTTATTACATCGGGTTATTGACGCAATGTCTGTGTGATTCCAAATCGCTCATCAACTTGACGAGACATCATTTGCCAGATAGCCATCGCTCTCGTTCTCGACACAATGGCGGCCGAATCATTGAGCTTTGTCGCCGACTCCAGGTCCTAGGCGCTCTCTACCTCACTGTGTATTGATGTCGAGGATTTACTATCACTCTTTATTGACCCGTTTGCTTATTCAACGTGGCGCGAAGTGTGGATCAGCTAAGTCGCACAACAACTTGACGTTTGGGTGGTTTTGCTAAAGCATTGTCGGGGTCCAATGTGCAGGTTGCAGAAATAAATGTTGAACAAATAAATAAAGCAATGAATGGAATGGAAAAAGTGATGAGCCGAAATTGTCATTCCTTCCCTAAGGCTGAAAGGTTTGATTCACAAGCTCTCTGTCCTTCACTCCTTACTAATGTTAGGGGCACAGAGCATCTTCGAGTTTAAAAAAAATTCATAAGATTTCTTATCCTTGTCTGTTTTTTCAGATCAGACGATTACAAAATGAGCTTGTTCACGAATAAAAGGATGAATGAATCAAATCAAAGGATGTAGGAATGAATATAAAAATGTTATGAATAAGGTGGATGGAATGGATGGATGAATGATTGAATGAATCTAGGATCACATTCATACTTGACCTGTGATTTCCTAATCATAGCTGATACTATGATAGTTCAAGCTTTTCCAATGAAGCAACGGACAGAAAATGTTTGGATAGATACAAAGAATGAACTACTAATAAACTGGGTAATTTCTGTAACGCTTTTTTTCTTTGCTTGTAATAGAATCTACAACCCTCTCGAAATCTCCAAATTCGCCCCATTTTGGGTACGGTAGGGGAATACAGCATGATTGGCTGCAAGCACAAATTAGCATATTACGACAATTTTCTAACATACTCTAAATTTTTTCTTTATTTTTGTCGCCTAATTGTGCTTCCTGTCTTCTATAATTTTTTTGAAGTGTGCTCAGCACAGTCTCTTTATAACAGCACTCTGGTGCCGCTAGCGTGCAAAAACGAGGGGTGAGTACACCAAGAGAATCGAATTTAGCCGAAAATTTTCGCTTCTGTGTGCATCATGTAAGATTTGATACGGAGGCTAAATTTAAGTAATCTTAAAAATATTCTATCGTTAAAAAGCGGATGAGCGCCAACATTTCGCAACTTCAGCACAGAAGATTTGCAAATACGATTGTTTTAACATGCCATCCCCCATACTTATCATAAGTGTGGACTACCTAACTGTCACATTATCCAATCTCTCGTTAATTACCTGGAAGATTGCCAGCTCAATAACAAAAATTGCCACAAAACGTAATTCCACCTTTAGAGTCGGTGTTTGTGCACGAACCGCACATATGACAGTACCGATGGGTATGCTTTTGCATTCCGTCAACATGCCTTGAACATGACATTTTTCCGAGTCTTCTTAGATTTCAAGGAGAACAAATATCTTTCAAATATCTTTTCGACCAGAGGACTTCATGCTGACAATATCTTTATAAACTAGCGCTTTAGAAAGCAAAACCTGACGACTCTTCCAAAGACCTGTAATACATGACTAGTGGTGCGGGTATGTCCCAGCAGTGCTTTGTTAAAAACCTGAAGCTTTCGTTTTTCTCGTCATCTAGCCAAGGGAAAGATACAGCAATGGTACATATGAGTGTCTGATGTGGGAAGTGCGTACGTGACTGAGTGAAATCCGTTAAATATTTCGGTCGAAATCATTATTTCTATTTTATGGGCATTCAAAACTTTCCTACATTTGACTTCAAATTTGAGGTTGATCAAAGATGATGAAGTCGATTCACACGTCGTATATCTTATCAATCGAGTAAAACCATATTAGTTCTTCTTATATTAGAGTTTTTCTACCCTCTAACTTTTGTTTTAATAGTAAAAAAGGAGGTAAATAGCATTTGCATAGACTGAACAAAGAATTAGTAGTGGGCGTGACAGTGTGCGCCGAAGAACTTTACTGACATTATAACTACAACTACAAAAAAAGTACGATAAACCTTTTCGCAATTTTGTTAGAACTGTAGAGCCTCAGTTATGATGAAGTGCAGAGTGCATCTTCTGTGCACCAGGAACCAGCTGGGCAAGCTGTGCAAGGAGTTCCTTTTCTGTAGATTACTTGGTCCACATGATTACCTCTGCAACAGAATACAGAATCATGGGCACAAGAAGAAATGAAGAATCGTGGTCTTACTTAGGTGAGTATCGGCAAGCTGCAATGTAATCGTTGCCGCACTTTGCGATGGCACAGCCGAGCTTGTGAGATGTAGACCATCCCATCTAAACATTTTTTGGTAGTGTCTATTGTCAAACACATTTTCTGTATTTGCTTTTAAAGAACATATGACAAAAAATTGATTGAAACAAAGATTTCAGAAGAGTATTTTACGGACCTGTGTAAAAGATTCTATAGCAGTACCGATGTGCTTTTGTCTAAAATAAACTTGTAGACCAGGACCTTCCTCAAATCGTATCACTTTCCACCAAGAACCTACAGCCTAAAGCAGTTCTACTTGCAAAGGTTGTGTACTTCAAATTTTACATTTTCAGCTGCTGCCATGTATGTCGCCAAGCCCTCCTGAGATGCACGGATAAAATTTTCTCCAACATCTGGTCGCGAGGGCTCAGTTGATTTGGATGATGGGCATATACTCAAATAGTCGGCAATGTTGCTTTCCAAAACGCAATCATACTCCTGAAAGCGAAGAAGAAAGAAGATGTATTAAAGTTGTTGTGAACTGTGCAACCATTTTTTGCATGTCAGAAGATTGAGGCAAGTAGTTGCCGTTCTTTTTGACAATATTCCCTTTTGCCAATTGAGCTCTAAATGTGAAGCGAGGTTAGAAGAATGGTTTATGATTTGCAGAAAGATGACTGCTTGGCCTCTCTCACCTGCGGTAATTGTGCATATCCAGAAACTTAGATCTCAGGTCATCGTGCATTCTGAAGTTATCTGGACAAATTTCGTGCGGTCCTAAATTCGCGAATAGTCAAGCAAGCGCGATAAGATACCAGTCTTTCCGGAACAGTTATAGCGACCTACAGTGGCGATACACTTCGCAATCGTAGAATGTGTACCAAACACAATCAAGAATGCTTTTCTTCATAACATATTAGGTATTTTGAAAAGTCAACAGCGAATTATGATCATTTGCCAATGATATAATAGCTATTGTATTCTACTAACAAAGGAGGTCCGATGATTTTCACAAATTGATACGGCTATAAAGAGCACGAACGCTGATTCAAATCTGTTTTCGTTATCTGCTGAGCGCCTCTGGACGTCGAGTTATGAGCGTTTTTGACTTGGAAAATTGAATGCATGATTAGCACAAAATTCGTCAGAATTGCTCAAATGGTCCAGTGTTGATTATCAGATTATCAGACTCCATTTGAACAATATCTTCTGTTCAAAATACTTATACTAAGGCTTTATAACTAGATTATGCGCTCATTCTTTGCACCATGAAGATATTCATGACTCAGCATGCAGAGGCACTTGGCAGATAATGGAATCAGATTTGGAATCAACGTTTGATGCTCTTCAAAGTGATATACTAGTACCGCAGCCATTATGAGTGTTCAACGTATCATGTATATACGTAAATATGCTAGGTTTTGTAAGTTTTTGACTTCAAACTTCGGCAGCATCAGTTTGCTACAAATTTTTGAGGTCTACCATATAGAGATTACTTGCTCTAGGGAATAGTACCCCAGAACCTATGTGGAATATAGAAGAAGTATGAATTATTGCGGTTTTTACCTGTTTCAGTGCAAGAAATATGTTCCAATTTGATAAACAAAGCTTGCACACGATTCTAGAAAAGTAAAGTAAACTTGTAGAAGCAACGGATCACCGAATTGACCCTTATCAGATTTTGGTACTGTTAGATAGTGTTCCCCCTCCAATTCGTGGCCTTAATTCTAAAATCGTGCTCTAAATCTCCACTGGCTTCGCCCACTTGCATTGAGTGGGCGTCATTGCTGAAAATTTGGAGCACAAATCCAGGCTTTATCTAGGTCGCGAATCGGAAAATGGGACTGAGGCTATTGTGTACTCAATGGGTCTACTACTGTCTAACATTACCAAAATTTGAGAAAGGTTCATTTTGGCGACAGCGCCTTCAATAAAGAACTATTACTGTATATATTATACATATGCAAATGGGCTGAAAACTAGTGTTGACTAGAATAACGTGAAAACAAGTACTACAAGTATTGAAAATGTTTCAATTTAAGAGGGTAAGGAAGAGATTGAGAGAAAGAAACATTCTGAGGTAAATAAGTGTATCAGTGACTTTACTGATGAGCTACATAATGCTCACCCTGGTTAAAGATTAATGAAACAATGAAGCACTAAGCATCCCAACGTTGATGTTATTTTCAATAAGTTTTTGTTCGATGAACTCTCTAAAATATACATGCAGAACTTATCTGCTGTGGATGAGGGGAAAACAGCCGGCTGTTGTGGATGCTCGGAGGTTCCTAACGTAGTAGCTTTGCGTCTTGGAATACACGAAGTGGTCTTTTCCGCCGCTGGTATTGAGCTTCCCTCCGTTGCTGTTCTCGTGGTCGAAGGCTTTGTTGTTGCGTTCGCTTTTGTCGTCGTGGTTGATGCTGACGTTTTTGTTGTGGTAGCTTCTTTTACCACCGTAGTGGTTGTAAGTTTAAATGTTGTCGTAGCTGCATTTGTTGTTGTGGTGGTCTTTGACATGGGATCAATGGTATAAATTGCGTCATCTTCAGTTAGTGGCCTAAATAGTTAGGCGAGTTGTGCAAACTGTTCTCGCACTCAGCCACTTAGTGGCTAGACACTGTTGCCTTTGGCCTCTGAACTGCATATTTAATCGCAGAAGCGACGATTTTCAAATTTGTCATGCAAAGAATAAAATCTAAGCAAAGCAGCAATTAGAGTCGTTTTCACCCCACCGGTAGTAAGAAATTGAACTAGAGCAAGCTGGTTGCGGTAGAGCTCGGCATCCTCAGCTTTCAGTTCAAGCTCGTGCATGTATCAATCTCAGCGATTTTGGACTGCATTATCTGAACCATCTCCGAATGTACCTGAGCATAGCAGATTGAGTTTAGACTGAGGGCTGATGGCGCCGCGCTCGACCGCACGCTTTAGCTCAAATTCAAGTTTAACCAAAGAGTGTTTAATGGAGTGAAGACGACAAGGACATTTGGCAATACAGGGTCAAATTTCCACTTGTATGTATACATATTGCTTCACTACTTATTGCTTTATTGCCTCTTGCGCCCGCTGAGTCCTAATCTAGGCTTAAATTCAACGAAAGTAAAAGTTTTTTAAAATAGTTGGGTTGAAAATTATGAAGGCGTTAGGCACTAGAACTTTTCAGTGGAACCAATTTGCGTCTACAGTATCCAATGGTACATTTCTATTTTTTCGCTAGTCAAAAGTAAGTACAACCTCATATAGATGATAAAATTCAAATCAGGGTTAAGCTTATGATGCGATCGTCGCAGCTAATTTCCTAGACTAATAAGAGGAGGATCATGCAGGATCGTTATAACAAGAGATTCCATGCACGGTTTGTTTTATGAAAAGAGAATCCAATAAGCAGATACTTCTCTCGGAAGCAAATGCATTTTTTATGGCGTATTCCTTTTTTCCTTTTGAAATTGAGGGTTTTACCGAATCTCATGAAAATTGTGGGAAAAACTTTGCTCCAAAAAGTAAACAGTTACAGAGTTAGACTGCCTAAGCTTACAACGGGATCCACAGTTACCATGCTTCTTACCTCCACAGCACTTGCAGTACACACATTTTTCCACTCAGAAAACATATGCAGGTGAAAATGTTACGTCATGTTTATCAGATTGTCAGATGTTTATCAGATGTATCCAAATTTGTTGTGAATTTTGATAAACCTGCACTCCATCAATCAACGGATTTGTACCCCAACAAATTTCTGTCTACTCTGAATCTCAATTTCGGAATTCAATCTTCAGAATACCCACGTTGCTGGGCGGAGTCATCGTGCCCCTTTGGAGCGGCGACTCCGCCCAACAACGTGGGTAATCTGAAGTTCTCGCTTCGGAATTTATCTTTTGCGGCGAGACTTAGGTGTTCGCTTAGTTACGGGTCATGCTGTATATATCATCAAAACCTCATCAACCTCAATTTGAGGAGACGGTGCCTTTGCGGCATTGAGGCAAAGTAGACGGGACAGTTGACCACCGGTCGACTTTAGAATCATAAGTACTCTGCGTTGATACCACTGCTT